GCTCAGCCGAGAGCTCGGGCTCACCGCCTGACCAAGGCTGAGCACGATGCAGGCGAGGGCTGGGGCTTTGCAGGTCCCCCCTGCTCTTGTCATCTCCTGCCATGCCTCAATTCAGCAAGGTGGTTTAACACTTGGGGACAGATGTGCCGGGGCGCTGGGAACAGCGTGTCCCGGAGGGCTGGGTGATGGAGAGGGGGCATCCGGGCACCAGCCTGACCACTGAGCCGTCACAGCGGTGGAGGAGCCGCGCTCTTTAGCAGCAGCCAAGGCGCATGCTCGCTTGCATGCCCCGCTGCCCCTCGCCACGTGCCGCCCTGGCAGCGGCTCTCAGCCACCGCAGGCATTTTAATGAGATCTGGGCAGGGCCCAGCCTCTCTCATCCCCCTCGGCTGCCAGGAGCTTTAGGGGGGCAGAGGGTCTCCGGCACGAACACAGGTGCAAAACCCACTGGTGGGGCTGTGGGCTGCCGCAAAAGCTCCAGGACCTGCATGGGGAACTGGTCGCTGAGCAGCTCTGGCTGCTGCTCTTTAACACTCATTATAGGAGCAATGAGGGTGGGCTATAAATCACCTCTTTAATAACCCCCATAGGTCTCCTGCCAGCTCCTGGTGTGAGAAGTCAGGGTGAGGAGGTGGGGTGTGGTGGCTGCTGGCACTGGGAGGGTTTGCAGCTCCAGCTGTGCCTGTTCTACTCCTCCTTGATTCCACAGACTGATGGCGCAGTAGGGTGGCATGTCACCTCTTCTTCCTTGCTTCCTGCTGGGGGGGCTTTGGGTTGGATGTGCTCCACCATGTACATGGGAGGCTGGCAAACAAAATATGTCCCTGCTGTTCAGTGTGTCTCTGGGAGGAGAGCTTAGGAGACTCCTGGGGCTGTGGGTGTTCAAAGGGCACGTGGCTCTCCCGAAGAGCAATTTTAGGGTGAGGCAGGTGCCCTGGGCAGCCCTTTCACAGCTTCTTGCAGTCAGCGGGGTGCAGGATCAAGACCAAAGCTGCTGGGTTGTTTCAAGGGACTCTAAAGGAGGTGAGTCCATGGGGCTAGAGATGAACGGGCAGTCTGCAGCCATCAAAGCAAAATGTGAGACGGTTTTCAAGCCCCGTTGTTTCCCTGTCTCCACTTTATGCCTACAGCCTAGGAAGACAGCCTCAGTGCAGGGAGCTGGGATAACCTTACTTCATGTGCCCCAGATTTTATCCTCCACAGCATCTCCTCTAATGTCCCGTGCAGCTCAGCAGGTTTTAAATCCCCAAAGCTGGGGCTTACCACCAGGAGGAAAACAATGCCACAGCACATCCCTCTCCCTAGCCAGGACTTTGTCACCTTCTGTGGCACTCTCCCTGCAGCACCATGGCTGCCCTGCCAAGGCAGAGAGGGTAGAAGCACAACCTGCAGGTGATGCGTGATGCCTGAGATGTTGTCAGTGTCCCAATCATGAGCCAGATGTCCCCAGAGACCTGATGGTGACAGACAAGGCAGCAGAGGGGTCCCCAGGTGTGACAGGGTCCCAGCTCAGCAGTCCAACACCTCTCTCCTTCCACCCTCTGATCTCCTTCCACACCCATCAGCACAGCACCAACACTGCGGCTTTTTGTTCATTTTGGTTATAGCCATCTCAGGGTCTTTCGTAGCCACTGGTGCAAAGAGAGACTGGCAAAGGGGCTCCTGGCTGTGCAGTTTGCTGCTTTATGCTCAAGAGGAAAAGCTGCAGGACTCCACACTGGCTACAGCAGTGCTAGTACCACAGAGGCTTATTCAAAGGTGCTACTAGCATCTCCTCCCAGGCTGATGGATGGGCTCGGGAAGGAATCCTGGGCTAGCCACCTTCCCTCTGTGGCATCTGTTCTCCCAACAAATCCAGTTTCACTGGAAGTTTGTCATAGGTGTTCAGCTGGAAAATGTGCAGGGGCAGGGCCTGGCAAAGATATGGTCTGGGCAGAAGTTGTGGGGGTTTCCCCGCTGCTCTGTTTGCTGCTGGGGTCACACAGAACAGAGCCGGGGGCTCGCATGGAGGGGTCTCTGCAGGGCAGAGACAGAGGTGGAAGGGTCAACACCCCGTGAATGAAGCCTGGGATGAGGAAAGAAACGAGGTTTCAGGTGTTGCACTCTTCTGACACTAAGTTGCTGCAACACCCCATGCCTCAGTTTCCCTCTTTCCTCTGTGCGGTCACAGCACTCTCCTCCCTCCCAAAAGCTGCTTCAGCCCCACCTTGAGCTGGACATCAATAAGGGTTTTTATATCTCGGGGTCATTGCTGAATGACCCACCCCACAAAGTTGGGGGGTGGTTTTCACCCCCCAGAACTCCCAGGGACCTGCCTGATGCTGGTTCTTGGCTCCTCCTTTCTCCATCTTAAGTAGGAGCAGCAAAGGTGTCCCCACTTCTGGCCCAGTTTCCTGTGCTCAAACATCCTCCCCTCTCCTCCTGGGTCCCACCTTCACCAGACATAGATAATTGCAGGAGGCAGGAAAACACTGGTTTTTTCCAGGGAATGCTTTTGAGAACCCTCAGGAGTACTGGAGCCATGGGGCCATGTCACACAGGGACCAGCCCCTCCCCAGCAAGTCCTTGCCAGGCTCAAGGGGAGCACCAAGAGAAAACCAGAGATCCCCAAGCACTCGCTCCGTGTCAGATACAAATCCTTCCTGAGCTTAATTCCCCACATGCCAAGAGAAATGGCACTCCCAGCACCACCACTGTGAATAAAGAGGAAAGACAGAAGACCCAGTGCTGCCCTGGCTCCTCACCCCACAGGGCTCTGCCACTTTCTCCCAGCAAAAGCTGGGATCCATGGCCTGGGGTACGGAGCGGGGAAAGCCCAGGTATCGGTTGGAGCCCAGCCAGGGACATTCACTGCCTTTGGGATTGTTTTGAAGAGCTGCTTCGCTTTCTAAAAATGAAAGGCATGTTAGAGCAGCCGGTGCGGGGTGGGGTGAGCACCACTCCAAGGCTGGGATGGCGTCGAGTACCCGGCCCCAACTCTAGGGTTTCCCCTGAGCCCGGGCTGCCCTCGGCAGCTGTGAGCATGAGGGAAATGAGGACAGGCGGGATGGGAGCATGCCTGGGCTCCCAGACACAGGGTTGAGGCTTTGCTTGGGGCAAGCCATGGGCATCATTTTGGGCGCTGGTGTCCTCCGGTTCCTGGCCGCGTGCGGGGGTAGGCACCGCGGCTGAGGGTGCTGCCACCAGTCTCCGTGAACATCCCCGTCTGCTTTGCAGCCCCCTCTGCCGCTGCCTGGGCTTCCCTGGGCAGGGCTGGCAGAGGATCTGCTGCCAGGCGAGTGCCAGCGGAGGCGAGAGAGGGGGAGAGAACACTCGGCGGCGTGCCCCGACCTGCTTTAGCTATGACATCACCCCACGCTCCTGGCTTCTAAAGAGCGATCTGAAGATGTATGCGGCCCTGGGCGGCTCTTGACCGGCACGAGTGAGGATGAGAGGCTAGGGAGAGGAGCAGGCACTGATCCCCGGGGCTGCACTTGCGTGTGCCCTGCTCCCCAGAAACGTGCCAGGTTCCTTCAGAAAAATTCCCCTGTTTTGCACAAGTTCAGGGGTCAAATCTGTGCCTCGCTCGACCCCGCGTGCTGCCAGCTTCCCTGGGGAGCCTGAGGGAAGCACTTCCTGCAGGATTTCTGCCTGAGCATCCCTGGGGCATCAGCGGCTTGTGCTCAACTGTGGGGTGAAGCATGGAGGTCTGTCGTTTCTGCGCCAGGCTCTGGCCGGTGATTTACGCTCTTTGGCAAAGGGGATGTGGTGCAGGGACGGGTGGTAACTGGAGCTGTGCTGCACCTGCGCTGGGCCTCCTGCTTTTGCTCTGATTTAATGTCCCAGTTGAGAGGTGATGTCATTTCAGAGGGAGCCAGGGAAAAGGAAGTACTGGAGAAGATAAGGTGCTTTAACTCTACCCGTCCCGGCTTGGCCAGTTTTTGAAGCTGGGAGCTGTGTTAGCTGCCAGCCAGAAAGCACTACATAAGCGAGGGGAGGAAAGAGGTTGGTTGGAGGATACCTTCCTCTTGGAGCAGTGGGAACTGACACCAGGAGCTGCTGAGATGGAGGGTGGTGGAGGACCTTGGATGTTCCCAGGTGGTGTAAGCACAATTTTGTGCGCTGCTCTGGCTTCTCTATCACTTTCACCCCCCGAACATGTGGGGTGGGTTGTCTGCAGCACCAGTCATACCCCGCTAGAGCCCGGATGCCACACCAGCAGCCAGGGTCGTGCTCCAGGAGGGTCAGCAGAAATGGTGGCAAGGTTCTGGAGAAGGTAAATTGAGAACGTGCCAATGCTGCCCTGCTTCCGGAGGGGAGAGAGACTGAATGGAAATGTTGTTACCAAAGGCTCGTTAAAAGGTCTTGTTTAGCTGTGGAGATGGGCCAGGGATTCCCATGGTGCTAGGTCCAGCAACTTGGACTTTCAGAAAGATCTCATGGGGGCATCCTGGTCCATCTGACAGTCAAAGGCGGTCAAGCCCTATAGTCTTCTCTGTCCTTTGGGTGATGTCAAGCTGCATCTGCTCATTCACATGACTGGGAAAACCTCAAGGGAGATTGGTTGGACTGATATGACCAAAGGTCCTCTCCATTGCACCAAGCTGCTGCCCAGATGTCCTCAGCTGGAGGGGAGTGACGCTGGGCCACGACTAGCCGGATCTGGCTCTATCCCAGAGAACTGGGTCGGTGAGCAAGAGCAAATCAGGATCACCAGTGGCTTTACACAACTGTGCAGGACATGCAACAGCACTGGGGTTTTTCCAGATCCCCGAGCTGCCCACCATGCAGGCAGGGCAACGCTTGCTGCCCTGCTCAAGTCAGGGCTCTTGCCACTTGAGCTGGGGACTGGCTTTCAGGCAGCCTTACTCACATTTAGACCGTGCTTTTGACCATGACAAACACTGTGGTGATAGCTCTGGTTGCCAGATGCCACCTACCGTGGCCCCAACTGGGGGTTTTCTTCTCAATATCAGGCTTCAGGATGCTCAAGTTGGGTATGACTGCCCAGCAACTTGGTGTGGTAAATTGGGCGCTGCTTGCTGTCGCATTTGGTAACGTCAGAGCATGAATAACAGCAATGGACTGCAGGTACCAATGTGCTGCTCTGGTCTGATGTGGCAGAAATCATGGGCTTGGTGGGGCTGGGTGGAGGGGGCATCTCTCAGAAAATGCAACGTGTAAGTGTAGCCACTGCAGCGAGGTGTGGGCTGACATCCCCAACCCACGGAGCTTTGTGTCTCAGTGGGCTTGCTTGTCATCATCCTGCCCTGGCAGGTTTTGCTATCAAAAAGTGGCCCTTGTTGTCCTCAGAGTAGCAGGCAGACAAGAAAAGGACTTTCTCTTCCTGTTGTTTGTCTGCATGAAGTTGCGAAGAGCAGGAGGGGGTGTGGGATGCCTCATGTGTGCATTAATATCCAGCTGTGGCAGGAAAAATCAGAGCTGACTCTCCGTTCCTTTCTCCTGTGTGTGTGGCACAGTCATCACAATGTGTCCTCACTGGTTAGCAACGGCTGGTGGTTTTTTGCTCCTTAAGGCTCTATTCTCAGTGTTGCAGGGTTATCACCACATTGTTCCCAGCCCACACTTCGGGGTGCCGGGTACTGATGGTCTCAGCCTTGCTTCTATGAGCTCAATGTCCCCATTTTCTCCACAGGAGGTTTTGCCACCTTCTCGTCCTGCTTCCCGGGGCTCTGCGAGGGGAAGCCAGCTGCCATCCTGCCAATGAGCATCTCCCAGCCATGCTTGCCCGTGGCCAACATCGGCCCCACGCGCATCCTGCCGCATCTCTACCTGGGCTCCCAGAAAGACGTCCTAAACAAGGTATGGCCCTGTAGAAGGGACACATCTGCCCTGTCCCATCTGAGACCCCAGCCATGCAGAGGGGTGAGGGTATTAAGGACTCCTCTCCTGCCTGGTCAGAGGACCATGTGGTCAGTCTGACCCTACCAGGAGGCTGAAGACAGGTAGTGTATAGGCAAAGCCCAATAGAACTGGGGAGGGTGGTCGCAGGATGAGTCATCTTATGTTGATGAGCTTTGGGGTGGTCAAACTCTTCCCAAGTGCCCGTAGCAAATTCAGGGGCAGGAGGAACACGGCTGGGAAAACACCTGGGTTTGGAGGAGGAGTTACCACAGCTAGAATGAGATGTGGGACAGGAGCCAGCTTTGCACCCACCTGCTTCACCAGCCAGGCTGCCAGATAACACCAATTTCAGCAACCCTGCAATACTCTTGGGAGCCAGAGAGAGTGGGAGCAAGCCAGGGTATTCATCTGTGGCAGCGTGGGGATGGGCAGCTCTGGCCAGGGGCTGGGGCTAGTTCAGGAGGCCCAAAAATGAGCAAAGTTTTGCTGTGGGAAGAGAGAAGAGGGACAGTGCCCTTTTAAAGGTGCTGGAAGGACTGTGCTGTGATGTCACACCAGGGAAGGAATTTTGTTTAAAGGAAAAATAACGATGAGAAGAAAGAAAGAGGAATTGCAGTTAAAACACTGCCAGGCGCTTGCCTACCGTGGGCAGGAGGGAGGCAGCCGGGCGTCCTTGCCTGGGGCAGGCGAGAGGGGAGAGACACCATGATGCCAGAGGCGGTTGGAGACAGAAAGGAGGGAGAGAGAAATTATATACAGGGAGTAGAAGGAAATGAAAGAGAAAAATGCCAAGAATGTGAACCCCGGAGCTGGCCTGGCTCCGCCGAGCCGAGGCCAGGCTCTGCAGAGCCTGCTGGGGTGGGCAGGAACCGGCCGCTGGGTAGCCAGGGCCGAAATCCTGGTGCGGTCTCCTGAGGAGCCAATGTCAGGCAGGGAAATTGATGGTTTCCTTCCCTCTCTGCCTCCTCGGAGGGTTTTGTTCATCTTTTGGAGCTATGTTTTCTGCCACACCCACGACGTGGTGGCCAGAAGATGCTCTATTCATAGGCAGCAGAGCGGAGTCAAGTGCGTAGGCTGTGCACGGGCAATGCTTCTCTTCTCCAGCACGTTGCAAAGGAGAGATTCCACATGGTGGCTTCACACACTCTGACATGTGAAGGACTCTTTTTCTCTCCATATTTTCTCCTCCCATTTAATTCTGGGTCTTCCCTGTAATAGTGCAGACCAGGCACTGAGACCCAGCAGCTGGCACAGTTGTTCCCCCGTTTTTTATACGCAACCTGCCCCGAGTTGTACAGGTGGTACCTAATCTGATGGGATGGGGAAAGAGACAGGGGTCAGATGAACCATAAATTCGGTGTCAGCACCGCATATAGGTGAAGCTCACCATAGCCCTGGGAGGGAAGGAATGGAAGTTGGTGTGGATGCAGCAGTACACAGCCAGCCAGCCAGTTCTTTGATGGGGCCTGTGGGTCAAACCTCACTCCCTCATTGCAGTTTTTCATCTGACCCCTACCTAAGGTCTCCCTTGTGCCATCACATTTTACTGAGTCAGAAATATGGACAGTGATGGTGACCATTGAGTGGCCAAAGCAGAAAAGTCACAGAAAAGGAGTTCATGTTCGTTTCAATGTCAGAAAGAGGGAAGAGATGGTTCCCCTCACCACCTGCCTATGTCCCAACACAAAAGTGTATGTTCACAGTGAAGAATCATGAACAAGTAACAAATCTGTCAGAACTCCCAATGCATTTCTGAAGGACATGGGAGCAAAGACATGAGTTGGCATTGGTTAACACAGCGTGCTACCAATAACTCGCCCCATTCTGTTGATGAGATGCCTCCTCTCTCCCTCAGCTGATCCTTTCAAAACTTTCAGCCAGGTTTCTTTGCTGATTTTCTTTCTTGTATTTTCCTATTCCTCTTATACTGGGGTTCCTGGGTTTTCCAGGTGTCTTTGGTCTTGCTTACTTTTACTTGGAGCAAAGTAAAGAGGTTCAAACTTGTGTCATCTAAATTGACACAACCTTCTCAGCTGGTCTCTGCTGTACTACCATCAACTAGGCCAAGGCAGCAGTGGAAGACCCACAGGAGAAAATATTGGGATTGGAAAAGGCAGGGAATGCATGGCAAGGCAGATCTCCAGCACTCGGTGCTGGCTGAACCCAGCTGATCATTCAATCACTTCTTTCCCACCAGGATTTGATGACGCAGAATGGGATAAGCTATGTTCTCAACGCCAGCAACTCCTGTCCCAAGCCAGACTTCATCTGTGATAGTCACTTCATGCGCATTCCTGTCAATGACAACTACTGTGAGAAGCTGCTTCCCTGGCTGGACAAGTCCATTGAATTCATTGGTGAGCTTTGCTACAATGGTTGCAGACTGTCCAGTTCTCAGCATTCAAAACCTGAATTCTTCTTCTGTCCTCCATGGTCTTACTCCCAGCAACCCTTGCCCTTTTACATAAAGGGGTTGAGGGTTGGGGAGGGAGGCTAGAGTCATTTTGCTCACCATCTCTGACCACATCAATGCTTTTCTCTCTGTTTCCTCTACTGTGCTCCAGACAAGGCCAAGGTGTCCAGCTGCCAGGTGATTGTGCATTGCTTGGCCGGGATCTCCCGGTCAGCCACCATCGCCATCGCCTACATCATGAAGACCATGGGTATGTCGTCAGATGATGCTTACAGGTGAGTTTTCCCTAGAGGGCAGGGAGGGGTTACACCAGTATGCTTCATTCCAGGCAAGGAAAGCAGGCTGAGCCCAGAAGGAATGGGTGGGAGCTCCTTGAAACTCTGTCTTGCCTTGGATGAGTCCCGGTGAAACCAAACCTCCCGTCATAAAGTGCATGCAACAAGGAATGGTTGGAAGCAGTAAAATGGGGAGGGGAGGGAGTTCCAGCTCTACCCCTGGCGCATCCCAAGGCCTTGTGGTTCCCCAAGACCCTTTCTTCAGAGGGTCTGGTCAGAAGGTCTTGGACGATGCCTCTTGAGAGGTACTCTCATGAGAGAAAGTGAGGTGCTCTCAGGTACCTCACTTGAGAGGTCCTCTCTCATGAGAGGGGCGACCCACTGAAGGACCGAGCACCAACCAGGGCTGTCTGTGCCTCTCGGCAGGTTCGTTAAGGACCGTCGCCCATCCATCTCACCCAACTTCAACTTCTTGGGCCAGCTCCTGGAGTACGAGAGGAGCCTGAAGCTCCTCAAGGCCCTGAAGTCAAAGGGCGACCGGGGCGAGGGGGACACCCAGCAGGACCCAGCAGAGGCGACTGAGGGCAGCCGGCAACCCCCACCACCTACCTCAGAGAAGGCCGAGGAGGTGCCGAGAGGCACTGGCTCGGTGTCCCCCCACGGCGACCCCGAGCGGCAAGGCGGGACCCCGAAGGTCCTGTCACCCACCACCCTGCAGCAGGGGCTCAATGGCTTGCACCTCTCCTCCGAGCGCATCCAGGACACCAACCGCCTGAAACGGTCCTTCTCCCTGGACATCAAATCCGCCTACT